CTCTGAGGAGGTAATTTTCGATAATCTCCTAACGAACGGTTTGCAATATTTAAACAAGGGTAGATGGAATGAAACTACTAAAGTTCCTACGCCTATTCATCACTCGTTTCACGGTAATTCGACTCGTCCCTTTTACCATAGTTGCTTTCAAATGGACCAACGTAACGTATTCTCGATAATTCACATCACTTCTCTCTCTGTTTCTCTGTCAGTTTGTTTCACAAGACCAGCATACTCCATAACGATTAACTCGACTTCGTAGCTTGAAATCTAGGAGACACGTTTCCGGTACGATTACCATAAGCGTGAAATTCGACGCGTGCTTCGACGCGTGCTTCGACGCGTGCTTCGACGCGTGTTTCGACACGCGTGCTTCGACGCTTTTCGTTTCTCGATAGAACGGAATAATACACTGGTCCTTTATATCGCACTAAATTTCAGTCGATACATTTCTCGATAATACATACCTATCCATATACGCATATATATATATGTGTATATAAGTTTATAAATATACATGAATATCTACATGCTCGGTTCCCATCAAAATCCAAAGGGATATCCAAAGGGATATCCAAAGGTATTGGATAGAAGTGTAGTAGGTAAAGATGTGAAACGATTCAAGTATACACGCGAGAGCAGTATTTTTCTCTCTCTACTCTAAGTTATCTTATCCCATCGGTATGTTCCTTCTTTTCGAAAAAGAGCCAAAACGCGTCGGCTATCTCTACTAACACTTTTCGCGTTCTCTGTTCGTTGAAAAATCTAATTTTCTTCGCGATTTTCTATGAACATTTATCTAACATTTGCATTTCAGTCGAGTATTAATTTCTGAAATAAAAATCCTTTAATATAAGATAGCTTTACCTGAAACATTTTCAATTACTCTCATGCATAGATTAATATATTTCAATTTATTCGTGAAATATTATTGGATGATATTTTATTAGAGGATGGAATAATCGATTAACTTGATTAACGAAAAATAATCGATTTTTATTGAGAACGTATTAATGTATTAAGTTATCTTACAATTATCTCGACTCACAGTCGAGTTTTATCTATCTTAATATGTACATATAGCGGTTTTATAATATATTTATTTATATTACAAATAAATTATTCTCTTTTGCGTTCGAGGTGAATGCTCTCTTTTTATCTAGATATACATAATATAGATAAATTGGAAAGGAACATCGTTGGTGTTCTTCGCTTTCCACCTATCATATTGCTGTAGTACCTCTTCATACTATCTCTTATATCCGGAAATCAAAGCAACGTTTACTCACTCTCTCTTTTTAAATCTGTTTTCTTCTATCACGCATTCGCATTCGCATTCGCATTCGCATACTTCAAGGTAAAAGGTACATTTCTTGTTTTTATTTCTTATTACGAGGCTTTTCGTTTGCAATAATACTATTCCTTATAGTTAAAATCTACATAGATATATCTAGGACGTATAACGTATTTCTATGAATCTAAATCATTTTGTTCTTTTATAAGGCTTATGATCTAAAATATTGGTAAATACACATCATCGTAGAATATATTTACAAAACACGCGTACACTCTTAGATGCATATCATATAAGTTAGGAGCAAAGAAAAATCAGTGTCTTTTTCCAATCATATTTTAGCTAATACACGTACACAGCAAACATTCATTCATATACGTAAACATACGTGAATGTATGTAACTGCATATACATACCATTCATACATATGCATTATATTATATAAAACATTTCTCTCTCTCGAACGATCCCATTCACTTTAAATATTTCTTCGATGATCTTCTTCCCATTTTATTCGAGTCACCATTTTATCTTTGTCGTGAAAGATTTCTACGAAGGAACAAACGTTGCCTGCCCGTCTGTCCTAGAAAAGTTTTTCGAGAGAACGATAAAATACGAAGTATTAAATTGTTAAATCTTTTTCTTTCTTTTCCTTTTTCTTTATATATAGCCAAAGAAATACGTTATATATTTATGTAACAAACCATTTTTTATTTTATTTTATTTTTTTTTTCCTCTTTCATGGTATTTTTCCTCGACTTATATTACATATATATATATTTATTTATTTATTTATATGGTCTTTCCGTCATAGGATAGACACAAATCGGTGGGATGTCTAGAGACACGCATACAAATATTCTCTGTATTTGCGATTGGTGTTTTTTTTTTCTTAAACAAAAATCATTTTTTTTTTTAACTGACAAACGTGCACGATAATACAACAAGATATTTTCATACGAAAATAACATTAACAAATATTTATTTTTAAATAACCAAAAGAAAATAATTTGAGAAACGTATTTGAGAATTTTCATGATACTTGTTCGATATCGACGATGACATTTAACATATTCATAAATTATTATAAATTATTTTCTTCTTCTTTCGATTATTAATAACTGTTGGTAGAAATTGTAGAAAATTGTATCGTAGAAAAAAGTATATTTCTTGGACGAATTAGCTTTTCTATGAAATAATACGAGACGTTATTATTCTCTTCGTTGATTAGATTATCTAATTATTGTTCTATAATTGCATTATAATCTATGCAATTTTTAATCTTTTTTTTTCTAGATGATGAACGTCGATTTTAGAAAATGAATGTAGTCAAATATCGAACGTTTCGTATTCGATTGAGTGCTTATCTGTGGGTGTGTGTATTTGAAATGACTTCGAGCAAAGGCGGGATGTCACGAGGGATTTAAAATCCAATTATGACTGACCATCGTTAAGTGACATTATGCATGGATACACATGAAAGTACACTCGACAAAGCATCGCGATTTCCCTATTATGACGCAACGCAGTGCGTTCATGCGCATTAGACGCGATCATGCTTAAATATCATTTAGATACAACTTTCTATGTCTTTCGCTATTTCTCGCATTCGAAAATCATTTTTACTTTCGACTAGTTCCTATAAATAATTAAAAAGAAAAACATAGCAAGACGAAGATTCATTCTTTTTATTGACGCGTTTCAAAATCTCTAATCAATTGTTCTCTTTGGATATTTATTTCTAATTTAAATAATAAAAGAAAAGTTTGGAAGAAATTTCTTTAGATATGAGCATTATGAAAAGAGCATTAATCATTTTCGTTAAGTAGGAAAACATTGATCGTAAAGCTTCTTTATAATCTAAGCGAAATGGGAAATATATGAATGAGATAGAAAGATTTTTCTACGCGTGTAGAATTTGAAAGAGAAAAAAGAGCGAGATTATAGGAAAAACGAGGAGTTTGAATTTTCGGAAAAACGGTAAAACGACGACGACGATGACAACGAGACGACTAGTTTTTCAAACGTTCGTGTAAGTGAATCTGAAAAAAGGAAGGAAGGAAGGAAGGAAGGAAAGAAGGAAGAAAGATCTCATTGAAAAAAAGCATTTAGGATTGCGATCGAGACAGGAGAAACGTTTCTCCTATTAACGATTCTTCTTATTCTTCCTTTACGCACTTTTCGTGTCTCCTTTTTTCTATCTCCTATCAGGTGATGAATAAAAATGAAAGAGAGAATGAAAAGCACGGTAATGGAAGACGAGAGTTAGGGGAGACTTTACCTACTTATTTAAAAAAAAAAAAAAAAAAATAAAGATGGAAAGAAAGAACATTCGTAAAAAGAAAACGTTCGTTCCTCCTTCTCCTTCTTCTTCTTCTATTTCTTTTTCTTTTTCTTTCTTCCTTCAACCCCCATCTACGTTCTCGCGAAGAAGAAGAAGAAGAAGAAGAAGAAGAAGATGTCGTTTCGATGAATAACCCCGAACGGACCAATACCAGTACTCTTGCTCGAGTGATACGTCGCTTTTTCTATCGTTCCTAGTGGAAAACTTGCTACTTCCCGAAGAAAGATCAGTATTCCTCTTCGTGCTCGTCCAGCCCCCTTTCCCTTTCTACTATCTTTTCTCCACCATCCTCTTGCCACCACCCTCTTGCTACCAACCCCTTGCTACTTCTTCCTTTTACGGAAATGGCACGTGCTTCGACGCCAGAACGTATTTCTTTTCTTCTCCTTCTATTACATAGTTACATATATATGTTGTACACACACCCACACACACACATAAATACATACATGCCTGTATATATATAAAAAGAGAGAGGTAAATGTATTTAGGTATATACATCTGTGTTTCTCTCCCACTCAGACGATCTTTTTGAAAGAATCGGCTTTTCGGTAACGAAGTAGAGTGGCTAACATTTTTCTCAAAAGGATGTGCAAGTTCTTCTTTACTACTTCTTCTTCTTCTTCTTCTTCTTCACTCTATCTTATCTTCAAATACGTTTCTTTCTTATCGCAAGGGGGGGAGGGAGGGAAAGAAAAAAACTTAATCGATCTATGCTAGCCGATCATCGGCTTATTGATCATCGGCAGTGCATAGTTAATCATCGACTTTCTGGTCCTTTCGTTGTTCCGTATGTTAAACGGTAATTCTAATCTAACACGACTATATAACGGCGACGAATAATACATTTTGAAATAACTTGAATTCTAATGTACTTATCTAATTGTAATAAATCGGAAGGTATCACGAAAAGTGTCCAGAGAAATATCCATTGATTTAGCGAGGACACGACGACGATTATATAATATTTAATATTATATTGACAAAGATTAACGATAACAACTCGCGAAGGAACTAACGCGTAATACGTGTTTTCACGGTTCAGGACGAAATGAAAGGAATAAGCAGTCGGAAGAACGAGTGGATTTTATCTTTCTTTCTTTCTTTCTTTTAGTTTTCATTCTAGCAAAGAGTTTGTGTTCTTATTCTTGACGACTTTTATCTCTGTCCTCCGTTACTTTTTACACGCGAAAAATTCGTCGAGTCGCATCAAGTCGCGTATCGGAGCAGAAACGAGCGACGTTTTCTCGTAACGAAGAGAATCTTCCAGCTCGTCTCTTTCATCTCGTCATCATTCTTCTCTCTTTCTTTCTTTCTTTCTTTCTTTTTTTCTTTCTTCATCTTCGTATTCTTATTTCCTTTTACTCTTGTTGATTTTCCAAAAAAAACAAGAATAAAAGGGAAGAAAACAAATGATATTGTTGTTGTTCTTCCTTCCAGCATCTTGCTTCCCCTAAACTGATATCGTTTCTTTCGAAATGATAGCCCTTTTTTGTTTCGTATCGAGAAAAAAAAGGCCTTGCAGTAGAGACAAGGAAATTGCCCATTTTTCCGCATCGTAGGTGACGGCCACCAAGGCTGAAACCCATCGCAACGTTTACGTGAAATACCTCGCGAGAAAAACAAACACCAGTGGCACGATCAACTCGACATTACTCCACGTTCTACCAGCTCCACTATAGATTCCTATACACTCTTCATGGCTGAACGATGCACAGTGCATCTGAAACCGAAAAAGAAAAAACAAAAATGCTAAAATGCCTAAAGCTTTAAATGGTTCGTTTCATGATTAAATACATTTACTTTTTTTTTTTGCTATTAATCAATTGAATAAATTATTAGTTGAATTTTTCTTTAGAACATGGTGGGATGAAACGGAAGACAAAAACTTGCGTAAAAAGATACGAGTCCTCCTTGATAGTATTGAATAAACAAACTCGTAAGAAAGGAGAATAAAATGATAAGAAATTATTGAGATAAAAAGGAAACAAAATATGTAGATTGTGAGACATTGATAAGAGAAAACGTGAAATTGTTGAAATTTGGGTCACCGGTGAGTTACAACTAATCGATTCGCGTGTGACAAAAGATTGACGAAAAAGAAACAGAAAAGATGAAGAATAAATGACGCAAAGTTGATGCAGTAAAACGAAGCTACTCTAGCGACAAGTTTTCCACGCCAGGATAAAAGTAGCAAATATTTACCTTCAAAAGCGAATTTGACATCCTGTCGAGGAATTCCTTTGTGAATCGCGCCGTGTCATCACCACACTGTCGACGTACCGTATGATGCGAACACTCTAGATATTCCTTGAAGGCACTGCAACAGACAGATTAAAAAACAACAATTAAATATTATAAACAATTTGTTTTACAACGAGGAATAAGATTTTGCAAATGATTGAAATCGATCACGTATCATAAAATTTAGAAAATTATTTAGTTTTGTTATAAAATGTTGAAAATGATAGATGATGGATACGAAGGGGAAAAATGTATTTGCTGGTCAAAGGGAGAAAACGGACCTTCTCAGTTTTCCCGTCGCATCGTTTCGCCGTTGTGATCTCGCGAACAACCGCGTGTAAATACACAAGGCAGGTTTTCAGGTTGATGGATGTACATAGAGTGTAATGTCATTAGCCTATCTCTAACACGGTCTGTTGCAGCTTTTGAACTCGCTCATCCTCTGGGAGAAAGAGAAAGAGAAGATCCGAGGAAGTGGAAATATTGTTTGTGCGAGTGCGCGTGCGTAAACCGGAAACATTGAAAAATTAACTTTCGAAAGACAAAGTATACGATAGATATTTATCATCGATACATTTATTCTCGCGAATTAATTGGCATGGTGTGTTTTTTTTTATTTAATTGTTACAATTAAGACATTGAAACAATGTCAAGGTCGGTTTGATGCGAGTTCAGCAAAAAAAAAAAGAAGAATTTGTTGATGACTTTATAATAGTTTATTCTTTGAAGTGGTATAATATATATGTTTTTCGATCGGTCGATAGATATTCGTAATATTTCATGGCAATATTCGAGCCGTTTACAGAAAATGAAATAGCTTGGAAATAATTTGTGTGTGGTTAAGAGAAAATAAAAAGTGGGAGGATTATCGTTCGAAGCGTCTTCGATCGGATAGATTACGTATAGTATTTTATCTTTGGACAATTGTTTAATCGAATTTTTGTGATGTAGATATTATTTAGAATAGATATATTCAAAGTGAATAAATTGTTGAAAAATGTATCGTACGAGATTCGTAATACGAATGTAAATTCGACCGTTCATTCTCGAATATAATCGTTGAAATTTAATATCTATTCGAATGAAATAACATTAAAAGGTAAATTCGTTTTGTACAAACGTTATCGATGAACAAATAATTGTTACATACGAACATTTGAAAACGTACGGAATGTAATTAACTTTTCGATCGAAAAATATTTGTTAAATATTCAATTACAAATAAACGTGCATGCTTGAATCATTGAAATGCACAATCCCGTTTCGAGTAGTAGTATTTTCGTTAAATTTTAGCAAAGGTAAAGAGAGTTAAGTACAAACAACAGTGATGATATGCGAACGATTGCAATGAAATAAATTAAAGATTGAATTTCATAGAAATGTGAGCACGTGCATACGATCTCTTACAAGTGTTTCGACATTAAACGTCATTGAATTTCGATTCGAAGAACGTATCGAGCTTGATAAAGTGAAACTTTCGACGTGAAAGAAATGGAGAAGAGATGACAAGAGCAGAGAAGAGAGAAAGAGATTGCAACAGAAGTCAACGAGGAGGTGGCTACTTTAATTTATCGATCTCTTTCCCGTCAAATACGAGAAACGAAAAGATAAATGGAGTTCAATTTTCTTTGTTTATAGAATCTCACACTTACCAACAAACCGATTTAAGAGAACGGTTAGGTCCTGACGTACGATTTTCTCTCTCGATTTCTTGAGTGGTCCTCTCGTATCTCTTGTAACAGAGATCGTAGTCTTTCTTGGCATTTTGCATGCACGGTGCGTGTCGTAGATACTCTGAAAGCATAAATTAATCGAATGCAAATGTGCGTTGTGGTTTATTAAATAATTCGAAGGGAACGTTTAAAGTAAAATGATTCTAGCTGGAGAAAAGGTGAAGAGTAGGGTGGTATATTAAATTATATCGTAAAGGGTTAGGTCATTGTTCGTGCGAAACCGATGCGATCCAATAAGATCTTTGATAAGGTAGAGAAGAAGGGTATGGGGGAGAGATCACGCGACTAGTTTCGAGTTATCTCTGTGTTTCGAGATTAGAGGGATACGGCACGGTCAGAGATAGCGACCGGCACTCGACTCAATAATGCATTCGGCACTCTCGAGATTACGGGAATATCGCGCGTGTATCGTCTTTCTCATACACATACACGTGCGTGAGTATATGTAGGCATGTACAAAGGGATCGTGGGAGAGGAAGGTAGGAAGGAAGGAAGGATTTCGGTCGATTCTGTAAAGGACAGGACGGACGCAGTAAGCAGCAAAATGGCTATCTCGAATGCGTCTTGAATTTATCGATTTTCCAGTGGAAATTGCACACGGCCGCGAGAGTCAAACGTTAAGACGGTCCAGCACACTTACCGTCTTGGTAAGGACCATCTTGGCAAAGTTCCATAATCGCTTGGTTTGTCCCCATGTACAAAGAGTTAAAGTGTTCCCTCTGTTCGTCCGCCATGCACTTGACGGTGTACGTTTTGATGCACCTCATGCCAGCCTGGATATCTCTAGAAATATCGACAGAAAGAGAAAATGAAATAGAATATATATGCTTAATATTCTCGGAGAATACTCTCCGATCCACTCGATTTCATTCGACTAATTATCTTCCGTCTAATTGAAACCATATCATTACTCGGTTCCTCGGGATACTCCCATTCTATTTAATTGTACATATGTAGATACGTATGTGTAACATAGGGTCAGTTACGAACAACCACTAAGAAAATCTAATACCCTGGTATTAACTTTGGAATTTGAAGAATTCTATTAGAATTTCTAGAAATTTAGTCATTTAATTGAAGTAGACATTGACAATTTTTGTGAAAAAGACCAAACTTTTGAGATATCTAAATATTTTCTTTTGATTTTTTACGATTCAATTTTTTTCATGAAGGGAAATGAAAGAAAATAAAAAATCAAGGAAAATCGTATTCCTTGTGATATAAGATAAGAAGCAAGCTCGAGAAAAGAGGGATAAAAAAATGTGCATCAAAAGGCTTGTATACTCCTTTCTCTCTCTCGCTCTCTTACGAATTGGACCTTCGTTTCTTTTTTCTCTTGCATCCCATTCAATCTACATCTTCTTTCGAACTTTCAATATAACTAGGTACCTACTTCATGTCGAGTATCGAAGTAGTTGCACGACCTTGAACAATACTGCGAGTCGAGGTTTTAACGTTGAAAAGGAATATTCTACGCGTGCTTTCTTCAACATTTCTCTATAGGGCAAAAAATAGCTTAGGCTTTACAGCAAACCGTTACCTTGCCAAAGGCTGGAAAAAGCATCTAAATTTCAGATTTCAATTTCAATCGTTCGCGCACGCGAGAAAATTGTCGAAACTCGACTTACCCGAGGCATTGAGACAAGAAAATGGGCTATATAAGTACTTTTATTTATAATTTATCGACGTAAGTTCAATCCAACGAGCTTACCAGCCAATGATTTTAATTGAAATATTACGTATTAACGATTATTGATATTTTTTTTATTCCATATTGGGTTGTTAATAATTTTATACAAACGTTATCAGCTTCAGCAATAAGTCAATTTTTCCTAAAGGTTATATTCATCATTTTAAAAGATGCAAATCCCCTATATCATTGATATTCATATTCAATGATATTTTATTTTTCTGAATAAAATTCTTTTTCGTGTTTTTGAACGTTATGCGGGGATTACGTAGGATGTACGGTTACATATAAATTTTCGGGCTTCCTTTATATTTTACGTTTACGCTTTTTTTTTTTTTTATTGTTTGCAATGTCGTTAACAAATTTCTCTTTTTGAATAAAGATGGACACAACGGAATCCGAAAAAAAAAATAAAATAAAATAATCCAAAAAAGAGAATAAAAATTGGAAAATGGTCGACGCCATTTAGCCGTTCTCCTATTTTATTCTCTATAATCGCCTAGGTCCGGTCCGTTAACGCGATTTTCATTGCGGTCCGAGGACTCGTGTGACATCGGACTTGGTCCATTATACTCTGGAATGGTTCGAGCGTACTCGGATTACGAGTTATAATGCCAAACAAGCCACGCGCGTTCTCACTTTTTAATGAAATTATCGATGGTGCGGTTAAAGGCCCTTTCTGGCGCATTTAAGTGCTGAAAATGTGTATGAGATAATCCGATTGAAATCCTTTCTCTTTCCCAAAGATGATGATAATAATAAAATGAAAATAAAATAGAAAGGAGAACAAATGAAAATAAAGATATTTATTTTATTTGTTACTTATCATTTGAATGCATTTCAACGGTCAACGATACGAATAATAATCAGTCTCGATTACGTTAGCTTTGTTTAGAATGTACTTGTTAGCAATACCGGTTAATGTTAATGAGAAGTATCGTTGGGGAGTAGAGTAACAAGCTAACGAGTCAATTTAATAAATTAATCGACGATAGGTCGAATTATTCAGGTGAAATATCAATATGCTCGTCGATATTAATCGCAAGCTTTGAATAAACGATATTGAAAAACACCCCCCCAAAAAAAACCCCCAAAAAAACCCCCAAAAAAACCCCCAAAAAAAAACTTTTTCAGTTTCTACTTAATTTTGTAAAAATTCAAATGCGAAATAACTTGTGTACTTAATAAATTGATACGAAACGTACTTATATAATGTATAGAGAAATGCGAATATTCGAGATACTTGAGTAAATATTGAACTTGTCTTATTAGTAAGAGTAATAAGCTCATTTAATTAGATGCCAATTAACCAATTTCTGTGGTTAACTCATTCGATCGAATTAAGTTAAGAAACTTACGGGCATAACTCTTGAAGATCCTCCTTCTTCGTAACGAAACTAAGATCGTTGTTGTTGCTGATCTTCTTGAGAGGTCTGGCGCACCTCGTAAGTTCTTCGTGTCCGCACTCCTCACCTCGACAACTTGCGAGAACTGTGAGAAACAAAGGAAAAAATAAATAAAACAAAGTTAGAAATATTGTCGATATTACAGAAGCGTATCTTTTTTGATTTTTTATTCAAAGTCACTAGGGAAGAAATATATAACTGAGTTCAGTCGACTAACTGGATTATGAACTGCGAGTATTGCAACGAAAGGAGAATAAGAAAGATAAAGGAAAGAACAGAAGGAGGAAACAAAAATAAGACATTTTTGTAAGAAAAAATTCCCGATAGAGATAGAAATTAGTTTACCGATAGTTTCTATTTGTTAATCCAGAAAGTGATACTTCCGTTAAGCTCTATCGTCGCCTTATTTCCTTCTATACCATCTTTTCGTTATAAGTTTGTTTTGAGAGGCAAAGATGTCGAGGGAAAAGTCGATCTTGACCTCGTTCTAAGTAAACTACCGGTTAATCCTATAGACTTCTGATCGAATCACCCCTTTGCGAACCTTTTTCACTCATCCCTTCGCTAAAGAAGACACGTTTACGTGAGACGACTTTTAAGTAGATAAAAATTAATTTTTCTCAGCAGAACCACCTTCGCTTCTACCCCTCGCAATTACCCTTCCACAAGAGTACGGGAACGTCGTCTTACTTTGTCCTACTTTTTTTCGCATCGATCTTTCAAAGTAGCTACGCTGAAACGTACCTTTTTCTAATTCAATAATAGTATAAATTCAACGTAGTAGGTACTTTATAAAAATAGATCAAATCATTATGTCAATCTTCATAGGGATGGATAATACAGTAATCGAGAGGACGAGTACGTTAACGGGGTCCCTACGAACAGTTTACCGCAATTTGAACTTTTCTAAATATAATCCTTTTTATGTTGGATTTCTATAACAAAGTATACAACAATTTTTCTATCTATCGTACCTTTTCGAAGATACAACAGTTCTTCTCTGTAGATATTTTATCGTTGTAATTAGTGTTTTCTGTATTTTTTTTTTTTTTCTTCATTTTTGTTAAGTTATTACTCTAAATGTATTTTACGTTGAATTAAATAGACAGTAAGTAGAGCAATTATTTGCTTCTCGAAATTCGCAATTTAAGATAAGAGGTGAAAAGAATGGCTTTTCAAGGAGAACCATTCATTCTTTTCTACAAAAGTCTATGGTTTGGCGGCACTCGAAGCGCCAAGGTCTTTACGTAGGGTCTTTGGAGGAGTGCACGTTGAGACGTACTACTACTTACTATTACTATTACACAGGCTGTGCAACACACCAGGCGGGCTTTATCCACTTGAGCCCTCGACTCACCTTTTTGCGAGGATTAAATCGGATTACGTACGACCGGTTCTACCAACCGAGTGTAACGAGCCTTCCTTCCTTCCTTCCTTCCTTCCTTCCCGTTAATGTACAACGCACGTTCTTACGGTTTGCTAACGTGACGCGTATTTAGCAAGTGTCGTTTCTACATATATTATACATTAGAACAACATTTACAATGGAACCCTAACGTGCAATTACTTCATAAATACAATTTTATCTTTTTCTTTTGAAATTATTTTCCCCGACCTACGACAAATTTCTTATTTTTCTTTTTTTTTTTTTTTTTTTGGTACACCCAGATAAAACATCGATCATCATAAAAAGACGGCCGGTACTCCAAGAAACATTTGTTTCAACGTCTGGCCCATTTGTCTCGTCAAATTATGATTGGCCATTCTTCGTCTGGTCGGTGGTATCGTTGCGAACTTTTCCGTCGTTCGAGAAACTTTCTCTCTGTCTTTCTCTCTCTTTGGAAAAAACGGAAGGAAAAAAAATCGAATAGAAATGTGGAACGTTGCGTGAATATTGAGTACCAAAAATGCTTTTAAATACTAATCGATGCATAATTCTTAGTCATCAGGAGATTGGTCTCGAGGGAGGAGAAAGAGGCTGGGGCAAAACTAAAGTGACGAATATGCGGAAAATGCGAAAAATGCAGGAAAATGAGTAAACAAAGCATCATTAAATTCAAATCAACTTCTTAATTTGAACGAATGGTTTTTTGTCCTACGCTAGTACTGTCCGGCATGATAATAAGCGTTCATTTGTCATCGTTAGCGTACCACGAATGCATTTCCTGTGTTTTCATCTCCTCTTTACCAATACAGAAACGTGTGAAACCTTTCCGGCGCGTTAACCACAACTCTGTTCTTGTGTTTTGCTTTTTTTTTTTGCTTTTTTTTTCTTTTTCGGTTTTCCAAAACTTTTTTCTCTATTTTCTTCTTGATATTTTTTATTTTCATCGCTATCGAGCGTCTCTCTCTTTTTCCCTCGTTGCTTTTAAATATAATACATAACATAATACTCGAGGGAATCTCGTAAACGACAGGATTGGGTTTATAATTGAATCGCGAACACATTGCAATGAATCATCCGCTTTTTGTGTAATATATGTTGAACGTTTTCCTTTTAAATGATACTTTTTAATTCCTCCCCAAAGCTTTATATGGATATCATTATGGTTTATTTGAATTTACGATTAAATATCGAATTTATCTGAGATCGATATTATCGACAAATTTTTGTTATAAAATAAATAAAAAGTGACATTATAAAATGTAGTATTTTATATTGATGGTAAATATTTATTGAATATTTTAGGAAAAAAGGAAACAGGAGTAGCTCGAAGAAGAATAATCAAAGATCGCGTTACTTGAAATTATTTATAAAAAAAACATTTTTGTTCGTGAAATCGACATAGCAATTTAGTATTTCATGGTGAAGGAGAGTCGAATTAAACGCTATAAAAGGGTTGAAAACGGTGCCTGTCATCCCATCGAATACGGTCGCACGATTCTCTTTTCACAGCGACCTCCGGCCATTTTCCCCAATTAAATAAATTAAGCGGAGTGCGTATGTCTACTCTTTTAGATCCGTATGGATGATGAACCCTCTCCCCGACCGACGATTAATTTATTTCCAAGCGATCATTATCAAACGCGAACTTTACATAATATCGTCTAATTTTACCGACACATACATTAACGTGTTGCATAATTTAGCAACTATTTAGTAAAGTTAGGTGTCTATCGCAGAACCATTCAAAAATTTCTATTGCACGTTTTACGTAACGCCCGTTACTAATTAGTCTTGCAAATTATACTTTATAATTAATCAACTCTGTCTTCTTTTTCTATTATACTTTGCTATACGAAAATAATGTTTTCCTATATATTTCTTACATCAAATGATCAAAACATCGTTAAATTAATCAAATAAGAAATAATTTGTCATATCCGATTGACGGGACACATCATCTTTATACGAGTATATTTAGCATTTAATTTCTGCAATTACCAATGAATCCATAAAAAAAACTTTGACGCAGAAACGAAGCTAGTTAAGAGGAAACTACTAGAATTACATAATAAATGTTTCAATTACCTACCACTAACCTTGACAGATGCAATAACTACAGATGGTTAGAATCAGTTTACCAACTGCATTACACGTGGTCTATTTGTTTTTCAATTGCATTCATTAACAATTTGAAATACCCTATTAATATAATATTATTTTAGTAAAGGAACGAAAGTGTTCTCGTATAAGTAAATAATATATCGTTAGATTGAAAATGGAAAAGAAAGGAACAATGACGCATGCGTAGGACAAGGCGCTTTTAGTAGGATGAATTTCGAGGGAAATTCGAGTTAGAACGGGGCTTGGGTGGTCCCTCGAGGCTCCAACGACGAGCGTCATTAAATTTAATTACAAACTATCTAAATTATTGGAGAGGGTCGAAACGCGGGCGATGGTTGTGACTGTGTCGGGATAGATTGGCAATGGTGTAACAGAGATAGACACACTCTACATATTGGATGATCTGTGCGTGTGCGCCTGTGTTAGAGGACTCCTAGTAAGCGGTGACGATCAGCAAGCGATGATCGTTCAATCGATTCTCGGACGGTTCTGATGGTTCGGATAGGATATCATCCCACACATACACGTGTGCACACTAACGCACAACAACTTCAAATTACGAGAGAAGCAAATGCAGCAGCTATTCGTGCGTAACATCTTCGCATACTCTTGCTCTCGAGTTTGGTATATTCTTGAAACAGTTTAAGCACTAGCATAAGATCTAGATCATTTGCAGTAAGAAAAAAAGAACTCTAAGAGGATTATTCTACTCCACTTGACTTTTTTTTTATTTGAAAACTAACGACTTTGACTATACGAGAAAGCAATCCATACTCAAGTTAGTCTGTTATAATATAGATTCGTTTAATCTCCCATGTTTCCGTTATCAGTTAATCGTCATAAGAGAGGAAACTCGCATCAACTTCCTTCTACGGTTTCATCTATTGATAAGTTTACTCTTCGTATTTGCTCGATCATTGGAATTTACTTTTCAAGATGAGTTCTTTATTTATTTCCTTTCTTATTTGATTTCTCTTTTATTACTATTTTTTGCTTTGGTTTGAAATGAATTGTTTTTCAAACGAATTTTTTTGGTTTTTTAGTTCTTTTTTTTTTTTTTTTAATTACTATTCTCTTATTTCTCCGTATCTCTCTCTCTCTCTCTCTCTCTCTCTCTCTCTCTTTATTTCGTGTAGGACCTGTATCGAATAAATCTTGGGAAGTTTTATCAAGCGATCGAAGAAAAAAGTCTCGTTATCTTAATGATCGTCTCGACCTCACGAACCTCGTCTCACTCGAAGCACGGAACGAACGGAATTAATGTTTGCCGAGGACGTAGGTACAATGGTAAGCTTAGAAAGGAAGAGGATTATGTCCAAAGAGAAACAAAGGATCCGTGGAAAATAAAAGAGATTGATCGTCGATCGAGAAGAGTAGAAAAGAAGGTGGAAAAGGAAAAATAAAAGTGGATTTTCTAGTCGACGACCTGTCCGTCACTCCCCCTTTTCTTTATCATCAAGAACTCATCGAGTGCTTTTATCGTCGATTTTCAAAAGTACTATCTTCTTTGCCAGCTTTTTTATTTCTCTATTTCTCTATTTAATATATATGTATATATGTATATATGTCTTTCCTTT